AGGGCGTATGAGGGCGTATGAGGGCGTATGAGGGCGTATGAGGGCGTATGAGGGCGTATGAGGGCGTATGAGGGCGTATGAGGGCGTATGAGGGCGTATGAGGGCGTATGAGGGCGTATGAGGGCGTATGAGGGCGTATGAGGGCGTATGAGGGCGTATGAGGGCGTATGAGGGCGTATGAGGGCGTATGAGGGCGTATGAGGGCGTATGAGGGCGTATGAGGGCGTATGAGGGCGTATGAGGGCGTATGAGGGCGTATGAGGGCGTATGAGGGCGTATGAGGGCGTGTGAGGGCGTATGAGGCAGCGGCAGTAGGGCGTATGAAGGTGATTCATCCACGCTTGCCGTTCCAGTAGATGTTGGAGTAGCCAAGTGCCATATCACGTAGATGGTTCTGAATGGTGGCTACTTTTGAAAATTCTCAAATCATCCCACAGGTGGGGGGCATGGGGGTTTACATAGCTGGGGAGGTGCCCCAGCTGTGAATGGAAGGAAGAAGGAAGGAAGAAAGGTCGAGCTTTGAGAGGAGCCACAGGGCTAGTTACCTCTCTCCCTCGCTCTCTCTTACTTGTTCTCCCCATCCCTCCTTCCGCTGTGATGCGTTTGACAGCCACCCCCTTCTTTCTGTGTTCGACCTTTGCCTTCATACTCCCTTGCAGAGATCTATCCTGGAATTATCTGTCGGGGGAAATACCCCAAGCATTCGCCAGCAACATACAAACGTTGTGTGTATCTCCCACTCTCGTCCCATACCTATGTTAAATCCCTCCTCTACCATCCTTTCCAACTCCTCCCACTCTTCCTGTATAGCTGCTCTCGCTCTCACTTTTGCTTGCTTACTCCATCTTTCGTTGCTCTATTGCATGCATCTACTTGTCATGCCATCTGCAGTCCTTTCGTTCCAATTGCATCTCCGCATCTCTTCCTGCTTGCCTTCATTCGTCCTACTGCACCTTCGCACACCCTCACGCACCCACCTGCTCTCTCACCCGCCCACCCGCTCGCTCCCACCCATCTTCTCGCTCCCACCCACCTGCTCGCTCTCACCCATCTGCTCGCTCCCACCCACCTGCTCGCTCTCACCCATCTGCTCGCTCCCACCCACCTGCTCTCTCTCAACCACATGCTCGCTTTCACCCACCCTCTCCCTCCCGCCCACCTGCTTGCTCGCTCATGCAGGTCCCTAAGCTACAATGCCTTTGACGGTCGCATTCCACCACACCTCGCATTGCCCAGCCTCACAGATCTGTGAGTGCTGCCACATCCCTGCCACATCCCTGCCACATCCCTGGAACATGACTCCGCCCCCCACACGCCCCACTCGCCACACTCCCTGTATCCATGGATGTTGGGATTCTCCAAGGGAGCCCACCTTGTGTTATGCTGTGAGATTCTGTTCATCTTAATTAGTAACCCTCTCTTCATCCCCTCTTCTCCCTCTGTTTGTCCTCTCTCCATCCCCTCTTCGTCCTTTTTTTATCCTCGTGCTTTTTTATTTTTTGTCCTATTAATTACTGTGCATTCTTTTTTTTTTTCAATCATTGTTATACACATTTTGTGTACCCTCTTTTATCTTCATCCCCTCTTTCTCCCTGGTCGATGGCACACTGCATCCGTTTGCCTTCCACACAGGGCTCTGACCAGCAATTTCTTCACAGGAGCCATTCCCTCCACCTTCACACGCCTCACCGGCGTTAGTACTCTGTGCGTCCTCCGTCTGCCTGTGCGTCCTCTGCCTGTCCATGCGTCATCTCCTCTGCCTGTCCATGCGTCATCTCCTCTGCCTGTCCATGCGTCATCTCCTCTGCCTGTCCATGCGTCATCTCCTCTGCCTGTCCATGCGTCATCTCCTCTGCCTGTCCATGCGTCATCTCCTCTGCATGTCCATGCGTCATCTCCTCTGCCTGTCCATGCGTCATCTCCTCTGCCTGTCTACACGGCGAATGGCATACCTCTCCCCTATCGATTTGCCGGATTGCATGGCCATTGGCAATATTATTGCTCCATCCTTTGTTGGCCATGCAATCCACAAGATTTCACGAGGAGATGCAGGTTGTAGAATGAGGATCGGTGAACTTGAGGCATAATGAGAGAAGAGCAATATATCCTTAGTAGGAAGATGGTACAAGCCTGACAGGCTAGGGCAATGTCCTTTCCAAGGATGAGTTCTAGAGAAGTGGGAAGCCACATATATGTGGCTGAACTCTTGAGGCTAGCTGCAGCACCTCAAAGCTGAGGGCAAGGCTAGCCAACCTTGCCAAGCTAGCAATTGAGGCCACATGTTGCACATGTGGGCCAGGCTGGAACAACGGCCTACATGGCGGCATGTGGCACACCATAGGAGCCAGCAAGGTGAGTATGGGATGGGTGGATAGATGGCAATGCCAACTGTGACCACACTTCACTGTGGGTGAGTGTGGTGGAGTGTGGGAATGTCATGTTGGGCATAATGAGAAGAGAAAGTGCTGCTGCTGAGAGTTGAACCCGCGACCTCTAAGACCAAAGGTGAGAGTCTACCCACTGGGACATTCTTGCTTGCACAACACCCCCCCTCAAGGATGTCCCCGGGGTAGGGTGCTTCAAGAGGAAACATGGGTGAGACCGAGAAGACCACGGATGCGAAGAAAAGGGTCACGGGGCAAAGGCTTGGTGCCAATGTCAGCGAGGTTGTCTTGAGTAGGAACATAGTGAAGGGTGATGGAGTGGTCGGCAACATGATCGCGAATGAAATGGTGCTTGATGTCGATGTGCTTGGCCTTGGGATGAAAGACGCCATCGTCCTTGGCGAGAATGATGGCACTGTTGTTGTCACACGAGATACGGGTGGGGCAGGTTGGGGGAAGACCAACTGCAGTAAGGAGTGAACGAAGCCATAATGCCTCGTGCACCGCGGCGCCCAAAGAGTAATATTCAGCTTCACATGAAGAGGTAGCAACAACGGCTTGGCGTTTGGACTGCCAAGAGATGAGTGACGGACCGAGGAAGAACAAGTAGCACGTAACGGAGCGACGCAGCTCCCCCTCCGGTCCCCAAGAAGCGTCACACCAGCCATGAAGTTCGAGGGTGTCGGGAATGCCACCAAGGAGAAGCCCAAGGGAGGTAGTCCCTTTCAAGTAGCGAGCAATGCGTTTGGCAGCCGAGACGTGAGGAGTAGACCAATCGTGAAGGTGACGAGCAAGAACTCCAGCGCTATATGCGAGGTCGGGTCGGGTCCCCACCATGGCATACATGATGGATCCGACAAATGAGGTGTAAGGGAAGGAGGAGGAGGGCGGGGAGGAAGTCACGGGTGGCTGAAACTTTGAGTCCATGGGAGTGGCAGCGGGGTTTAGTGGAGAGAAGGAGTAGGTGTCTAGAATGGAGGTGATGAATTTGGATTGATGAAGGTGGAGAGTGCGGGATGTCCGATCACGAGTGATGTGAAAGCCAAGGTAGTAGGAAAGAGGTCCGAGGTCACGAAGTTTGAAGCGAGATGAAAGGGCATGCTTGAATGAGGCAAGAAGAGAGGAGGAGGAGGAGAGAATGATGAGGTCGTCAACGTAGACGAGAAGCATGAAGAAGGATGCAGCGGTAGGCCGATAAGGTGAGTGAGGAGGAGCAATGAAGAGGCCGGGGTCCGCACGAGCAGCAAAGAGGTGAAAGGCAGCAAGCTCCTCACGAAGCTTGCGGTACCAGCATCGCGGTGCTTGCTTCAACCCATACAGCGGTTTGTGCAAAAGACAAACTTGCTCAACACCATGGACCGCCGGAAGTTCATAACCGGGAGGCTGCATCATGTAGAGAATCTCATCAAGGGTGCCGTTGAGGAAGGCGTTGGAGATGTCCAGCTGATGGACTTCCAGGTTGAAAACGGCGGCTATGGTGAGAAACAAGCGGAGGGTGGCGAAGCGGACGGTAGGAGCAAAGGTGTCATGAAAATCAACACCATCACGTTGCTTGAAGCCTTTGACAACAAGGCGGGCTTTGCGGCGTTCAATAGAACCATCAGCATTTTCCTTGACCTTGAAAATCCATTTGCATGGAATCGGCTTGCACTTGGGTGGTCGAGGAACAATGATGTAGGTGTCATTAGCGTGCAGGGCAGCGGGTTCCGCATCAGCAGCCTTGATCCATTCAGCAGCATCAGGGCCGGTGCGAGCCTCATGAATGGTTTGAGGTTCGTAATGATGGTGAAGGGCAGCATTGGCAGAGGTTTTGGAAAGAGGAGGAAGAGTGAAGTCAATGGGTTCGGAAGGGGATGGTAAGACCTTGAGGAAGGAGGAAAGGGAAGGATCGTGAAGAGCTGAAGGGGATGGTGGTGAGGAACGAGTCGTGCAATGGGAAGGAGGAGGCGAAGAGGGAGGAGAGAAGGATGGAAGGTGAAAGTCTTGCGGCGTCGAGGGCAGAGGAAGGTTGGAAAACAATGGAGGAGGAGAAGATGTGGCTGGTGCGGGCAGGTTTGGGGATTGTGGGTGGGGGTTGGTGGAGGAAGGTATGGTGGGGGAAGGAGAGGGAGGGGAGGTTGGGGCCAAGGAAGAAGGGTGTGGAGGAGGAGGTAGTGAGGAGGATGTGGGTGGAGATGACGATGGAGGGTCGCGAGGGTCGTCGGAAGGTGGTGCAGAGGGCTCCATGAAGATGACATCACGAGAAAGGATGACACGGTGTTGAGATGGGATATAGATGCGGTAAGCTTTGGTGCCGTCGAGATGACCATATCCAACCATGATGCCGGCCGTGCTTCGGTCGTCGAGCTTAGAACGCCGTTGGGAAGGAATGAGGACCGAGACGGGTGAACCGAAGATGCGGAGGTGTGATACATCCGGACGTGCACCGGTCCATAGTTCCATGGGAGTCTTAGAAGTTGAACCACCCCGACTAATGGCGTGATTACGGAGATAGGCAGCAGTAAGAGCGGCTTCACCCCACCAGCCTTTGTCCATGTGTGCATCATGTAGCATGGAACGGACCATCTCAAGTAAAGTCCGGTTGGCCCGCTCAGCTACTCCATTTTGCTCAGGTGTTTATGGCGTGGAGAGGTGGCGAGCGATGCCATGAGCTGTAAGGAATGAAGTGAAGTCTTTGGAAGTGAACTCCAAGGCACCGTCAGAGCGAAAGGCCTTGATGGTGTGTGGGGAATGCATGTTGTGCACCCGCGTGACGTAAGCCTTGAAGCATGAAAGTGCTTCCGACCGGTGGCGTAGGAGATACACTGTAATATGGCGGGAGTAGTCATCGATGAAGGTGAGAAGGTAGCGAGCGCCGCCAATGGTAGTTCCATATGAAAACGGTCCAGCAATATCTGAGTGAATGAGTTGGAGTGGTGCTGTGGTGCGAGAATGGGACACGCCAAATGGCTGACGTGTTTGTTTCCCACGATAGCACGAGATGCAGGGGGGAATCGAGGTGGAGGAGAGGTGAAGACCAGTGACCAGCTGCTGCCGATGAAGTGTGGATAAGTCCTGCATGTTGAGATGCCCGAAACGACGATGCCAGAGGTACGAGGAGGTGGTGGTGGAGGCTGGACATGCAGTTGGCTTGATAGAAGGAGCAGCACTGCTCCCATGATGCAGTTGAAGATAAAACAGGTTGTTGAGGGTGTAACCCTCGCCAATAGGAGCGTCATCAGATGTGAGAACAACGCGCCCAGCAGCGGGGAACGAGACAGGCAACGCCGGCAGCACCAAGTGCACGAACAGAGAGCAGGTTGTGAACTGATGAAGGGAGAAATAGAACGTTTCAAGCTGAATGGTGGTTTCCGATGTGTGTGACCGAAGAGTAGCCACCACCGTGCCGACTCCCAAGACCTTGTAAGTCTCTCCCCCACCAAAACGAACAAGGATATCTTCGTTGGGCTTCTTGAGAGACGAAAACAGCGAACGATCCGAGCAGATATGGGAGGATGCGCCGCTGTCCACCAACCACGACGAAGTCCGCTCCATGTTGAATGAGGAGGCCGTGAATGCCGATGCGTAGGGAGCCCCATAAGGGAAGAGGAGGAGGAGAAGGAGGATGGTGAGAATGAAGACAGCAGCGACGAGAGGAGTCCATGTGGAGAAGATGGGGTGGTGGCTGGTGCTGACAGCAATGTCAACGTACCGGGAATCAGGTACGGACTGAGCGGCTGATGGGGCAGGAGTTGGTGTAGGGGTCGGAGTAGTTTCAGCAGAGGAGCTGGTGGAGACATGCACCGAGGGCTGGATGGCGGATTTCTCGCGTTTAGAGCTTTCTTCAAGCTCTTTCTTCTTCTTCAATTTGAAGCATTCATCGATGGTGTGACCCGTTTTCTTGCAATAACGGCAGGTGGGCGACAGGCGTGAACCGGAGCGAAGAGGGTGGGAGGGCTGGGAATTGAGGTTGTATGCACCCTCCATGTTGCGGCTTGTACCAGATTGTGACCGCTCCCAATCGGCATCGAGTAGGCGTGACTGTAGGTATTCAACCGTCATAGACTTTGTCTTTCACGGTGCAAATGGTTTCAATAAGGGTCTTGAACGAGTCCGGAAGGTTGAGGATGATGGAGATTACCATTACCCATGATGGTAGCTCAAAGCCGGCAGATTTGAGTTGGTGTGTAAGGTTTCCAACTCGATCGAAGTAGGAGCGAAGACTTGTTGTTGGGTCCATCCGTGTAGTGATGAGGTCCCGGAAGAGAGCCACTTGTGCATGGTTGCTCATGCAGTCGAACCGCGCCATGATGCATCCCCACATATCCTTTGTCGTGTTGGCTTGAGCAAGAGTGAGCGATAGTTGAGGATGGACGGCTGACATGAGAAGATAGTATGCATGCTCCTCGTTTTCTTCATCCGGCAGCGAAGCAATCGAATGGGCTGTTTTGGGGGCTGCACCGCTGTTGCCTTCGGTAGTCTCTCCACCGCTGGTTGTGGAAGAGGAAATTGAAGGACGCGAAGCAACCTTGGGATCTCCAAGGAGGGAGATCAGCCCAAGGACATTGAAGATGTAACATATATTTTTCTTCCATGGAATGAAGTTGGAACCATCTGGTTCCAAGATGGGAAGGGTGTGCCGACCGAGAGGCGTTTCAACTTGAGCCATCAAGTGTGCAACGTTCACTAAGCTAGAAGCCTTGCTCTGATAGCATGTAGAATGAGGATCGGTGAACTTGAGGCACAATGAGAGAAGAGCAATATATCCTTAGTAGGAAGATGGTACAAGCCTGACAGGCTAGGGCAATGTCCTTTCCAAGGATGAGTTCTAGAGAAGTGGGAAGCCACATATATGTGGCTGAACTCTTGAGGCTAGCTGCAGCACCTCAAAGCTGAGGGCAAGGCTAGCCAACCTTGCCAAGCTAGCAATTGAGGCCACATGTTGCACATGTGGGCCAGGCTGGAACAACGGCCTACATGGCGGCATGTGGCACACCATAGGAGCCAGCAAGGTGAGTATGGGATGGGTGGACAGATGGCAATGCCAACTGTGGGTGAGTGTGGTGGAGTGTGGGAATGTCATGTTGGGCATAATGAGAAGAGAAAGTGCTACTGCTGAGAGTTGAACCCGCGACCTCTAAGACCAAAGGTGAGAGTCTACCCACTGGGACATTCTTGCTTGCACAACACAGGTCATATCCCAATCTAGAATATTCCCCTTTGAATGGTGTTCCATGAAAGAGAGTTTGTTGTTTCTCTGTCTCACGTTTTTTTTGCTCCACACATCACCATCTCAAAACCTTGTTCTTCTCGTCGACCTTAAACAACCCATGCCACACTTGTCCTCATCACACCACCACACTACGCGTTCCACAACCCATGCCACACTCCTCGTTACACCTCACTGCACCGCAATTCACAACATTGCACCATACCACGCCACCTGCAAAACCCAGGTCTTTGACCAACAACAGTCTCAGCGAAGGACTGGAAGTGCTCGCTCAAATGACATGGCTTACAGCCATGTGAGTTGTCCTGTGTGCCCACAGTTGTGTCATTGCTCTTTTCTTTCTCATTGCTCTTCGTGTCAGCCAGGTGCCTTGCTACTCTGCTCACATCTTATTGCTTTCACTCCTTCGTTTCGCCCTACGCCATCCAAACCACGCTCTCCTACCCCAACTTGTGCAACACAGTCTCCTTGACAGTAACAACTTCTCGGGTGTTTTTCCAATGTCCTTCACGGCTTTTGAAAACCTCTTATACATGTGAGGCTTTCCCTTCCTGGCGCTTTCCCTTATTGTCCATCTGTGTGCTGTCCCTCGTGTGCGTTGTTCGTTGACTTTGCTCGTCGTGTGCTGCTATTTGTGTATGCTGTCATGGGTGCGGCCCTTCATGTGTGCTGATCTTTGCACGAGCGGCTCTTTGTGTGTTCCTTCTCGTGTATGCTACTCGTTCTGTGTGCTGCTCTTTGTGTGTGCTGCTCTGTGTGTGTTCTACTCTTCCTGTGCACACATGCGTGCATTTCCAATCAACCATCCTCACAAGCCTGGTACCATCCATCCATCCACCCTTTGCAGAGAGATTGGCAACAACCGTTTCTCTGGGCCCTTTCCTGAATCTCTACTAGCCCATAAGGGACTTCAAGCGTTGTAAGCCAGTCATCATCTCAAGTACTGTAAGTCATTTTCCTATGCCTGCATAAGGATTGGAACCACTGTTTTATTCTCTTCCTACGCCAAAAGTGCATGCTTGCTTCTCGTGTGGGCTTATCTCTATGGTTTCGGCATGGCAATGGCAGAAGCTTGAGGAACAACAGTTTCTCGGGTTCCATCCCACAGCAACTGACAGAGCTTTTTTATCTTACAGATATGTGAGTGATGGCACACATGTGAGTGATGGCACACATGTGAGTGATGGCACACATGTGAGTGATGGCACACATGTGGGTGATGGCACATGTGTGGGTGATGGCACACGTGGGTGATGGCACACGTGGGTGATAGCACACATGTGGGTGATGGGGATGCGAGCCCTGTTTGCAGTTGGGTTGCTTGCACGAACAACTGAACAACCTGTCAGTTGACTCTCAAGTAAGAAAATCCTTATGCGGGCGAAAAAAGGGAGATGTAAGTCATTCTCCTACGCCCGGTTTGCTATTGCTCCACCAGACTTGAGTCTCACTAGTGATCACACCAAGTATAAACTCCAGTTTTTCTCCATGAGGGCATGATGATTACAGAACAAAATCATCAGTGTTGCAGAGTCTTTTTGACTGGCTGATCTTCCCAGATTCCACAAGCACATGACGAGTGGCAGGGAGTTCCATGCTTGCCATGATGAGTTGCATCCCTGTTGGCATGTTGATGGCCACTGTGGCTCAAGGCGAACTGGGTATTTTTTTTCCTAGTCCTCCTGTACTTTCAATTGCTCTAAAAATGTATTTTCTGTTCCAGACGCTATGAGCCGAGCCTTCCGCAATACCCCAATATCACTGACTGAAAATTCCAATTCCCCAATACCCCTCGGCTCGACCCTTCATGACATAATCACAAGCCAGGGAGGGCTTGAAATCACGTCAAGACCACACAAGCTCCCTTGTTCAGACATGTCAAGTCACCATCGTCTTCCCCATAATGTGAACTGGCCCTGATACGGCCTGGCCAGGCTTGAAATGAGCTCGTTAGAATCCTTTCACCAAACTCAGCTCCCCTTTCCACCTCATCGTGAACTGGGCTTGCTACCAGGCTAGCGGGACACACCTAATGTGTGGCTCCGGGCTGAGCCTGCTGCACCAGGTTGCAACATTCGGCACACTCATTCACCTCCTGTCATGTGTCATGCTTTCTCACCCCATTCCTCTTCCCATCGTTTCGCCTCCCCATCTCCTTTTCAGTGATTTGACGGACAATAATTTCCATGGGACGATTCCACCTGAACTGTTTCAGCTGCCTCAGCTGTTCTCACTGTGAGTTTCCCTGGGCAGCCACACAGCTCACATGGCCTCCCCCCTTTTTCTCTCACTCCCGACCATCTCTTTCATTAGCTTTCCTCTCTCTCGTTCGTCTCCCTCCCTCGTCAATCTTTCCTCACTCACCCTCCTCCCTTCGTCGTCTCTCTCCTTCCTGCTTACACTTCTCTCACTCCCTGCATCTCCCTGCTCCTTTGGCTCTCCTTTGCGCCAACCAGATGTGCATGTCGTGTGAGAGAGGCAACTGTTGAAGTTCCTCCTCCTATATCCTTTATACATACCCATCTTCCCTTCCCTCCCTCCTCCCCCCCCCTCCCCCCCTCTCCCCGCCTACCTCCTCTCCCCTCTCCCATGCTGCCCTGCTGTAGGCAACTGGGGAACAACTTCTTTTCAGGTGTTCTTCCAGTACCACTCAACGCGTCACCCACTCTTGAACTTCTGTGAGAACTGTGACAGCTCTCAACCCTTTCGCGAATGTGCGGTGTACCCCATCCAAGCTAAGAGCCAAGTCCATACCGCGCTTGTTTTCCCCTCCACGTTGAGGGTTGGTTGGGTGGGAGCCATGCCAAGTTCTGTGCCTCTGCATTGCTTGCACCCATCCCATCCCATCACCTGCTCATTCGGTAGTCTCGTGTGCTCGCCCCCTTTCAGTGGTTTGCCTCTGTAAATCTCCACCCCTCATGTTCTCTGCCATTTTTTTTCTCTGCTGTCCGCTGCATTGTAGTGCTCTGGAGGGGAACGGCCTTACAGGCACCTTGCCGGAGTTTGCTCGCTGGAATGTCAGCATCAGGAGCTTGTACGTCAGCCTCTTTTTCTCTCATTCTCAAACGGTCTGTTGTAATTATGCAGTGGCAAGTACGCGCAAGGCAGTGCACCCTTAGCTAGATGCTACTACTAGTCTACCATGAGCAACAGTTCAAAGCACGAGCCAACCGCTCTGGTCATCAGCTTGGTTCATCCAAGCCGAGCCGAGCCGAGCCGGCGATTTCATCTGGCCGGCTCTGGAGCCTCTGGCTCAACTCGTCCACCAGCCGGCTTGTCGCAGCTCAGCTCGGACCGAGCCTGACAGGCTCGGACTAGGGCTCGTGCGTATCAAATACCTCTCACCTCCCTCTGGGGCTGGAGTGGGATTTGTGAGGTGAAACAGGTAACTCTCCAGCAATCACTTTGACAGATTGGTGGCTATGGCTAAGTGTGTCTTGCAGTGCAAGGCACTGGCATGAGCCCTCTGGGAGGTAATGGTCATGTCCTGGCTGAGCATGTGAAAGAGGTTTGCTGCCTCAGCAAAGGTGAAGCTGGTTCGGAAGCGTTTCAAGGCTGCGAATTAAGCACTTGTCCGGAGGCACCAAACACCACGAGCGAGCTGCCGCCGTAGTAAAAGAACAAAAAAAAAGCGAAGAAGGGATTGCATCCAGAAAGGAGGAGTGAGGGTGAGTGTGTAGTGGTTGGGAATGGTGTACAGGTTTACCACCGCCATCCAAATGAAGCCGGCAAATTGAATGGCTCTAGTAAACGTGTGCCTGGTTAGCCCAGACAAGGCGAGGATGACAGCAGGTGGTTCGGAGGATGAGAAAACCTGATGAATAGTGACTCAATGGTCATCAATCAGAACAAACCCGAAGCAATGGCTTAGTGGATCATGTGGACAGGGTCGAGTAGGCAAATTAGAGAAGGAAGTTTGGAATGAGGAGGAACCCATTTTTTTATGATAAATGGCTTGTAAGAGGGCTTTATATAGCTGGAAAATGTGCCCTTTAATCAATGTTCGTGCCCCTCATAATCTAACAACCATTGCATTGCACGTGTGTTTTTCAGGGCTCTCAGCAACAACAACTTCACTGGATCTATTCCCGATTCCATTTCCGCGCTTACTAACCTCGATTCAATGTAATCTTATGCACTTATATTGCATTCATCATCAGTGTGTTGCATGATCCTCGCATGGTGTAGGAATTTGCCAAGGATTCGTTTGCCAATATGCCATCGTGTGGGTTTCGCTATGTGATCGGAAATCGCCATACAACAGGAGCTTCTACTAGCAGCATGTGTGCGCATTGCACTCTGAGTCTCTACCACATGCCGTGTTTTAGCATCACGCCTCGTGTCATGCCTTGCTTGCCCATACAGCATCCTCAACAACAACCAGCTCTCGGGCTCCATTCCAGCTTCCATCTTCAACATGACCAATCTCAAGTTCCTGTGAGTGTCAACTCCCTGTGACTATCAACTAATCATCACTGCCTTGGGGTGTTGGTCATCATACACAATACACACTTGCACTCTCCTATTCTCTCATTCACACCGATGCAAATGCCTGCTTCTCGTTGTGACCCCTTTCTTTTCCCACGCATCCACTGCTTTCCCCCATGATGCCTCACCATTCTCTCCCACACCGCGCCTCCCCTGCACCACGGCTCCCTCACTCACTTGTTTCTTTTGCGTTCCTCCCATGCAGCTATCTGGCCAACAACCATCTCAGCGGCAGTCTACCGTCTGACATCAGCCGACTGAAGAAGCTGGAGCAGCTGTGAGACCCCTCTTCTCCTCTGTTGTCTGCCCTCCTCCCTCCGTGTTCCCACCAACCTGAGCGCCCGTCTGTGAGTCCCTCGCTCCGTCAATCTATCCATGCTTCCATGGTTATGGTATAGGACCCAGCACCTCTCTTGCTACACCCACGTGTACCATTTCCTCCCTGCCTGCCCCCCCAGCTGGCTGGACAACAACAACATCGAGGGCCCTCTGCCATCTGCCATCTGCTCGATTCCCTGGCTGTGGCGCATGTGAGTGGCTGTGGCGCATGTGAGTGGCTGTGGCGCATGTGAGTGGCTGTGGCGCATGTGAGTGGCTGTGGCGCATGTGAGTGGCTGTGGCGCATGTGAGTGGCTGTGGCGCATGTGAGTGGCTGTGGCGCATGTGAGTGGCTGTGGCGCATGTGAGTGGCTGTGGCGCGTGGGAGTGGCTGTGGCGCATGTGAGTGGCTGTGGCGCATGTGAGTGGCTGTGGCGCATGTGAGTGGCTGTGGCGCATGTGAGTGGCTGTGGCGCATGTGAGTGGCTGTGGCGCATGTGAGTGGCTGTGGCGCATGTGAGTGGCTGTGGCGCATGTGAGTGGCTGTATGACATTTGTCCCTGACCCGGTATCCACCCCTCTTCCCAGAACTATTGTCTCTGTCAAAATCCATTTGCATTATGCCATCTTTTGCATTCCCCGTAGTCATCACTTCCCCTTGACATGTATCATATGTGCTTTAGACTGCGTGTGCTCTATGGTGTGATGTGGTGATGTGGTGACAGTATGGCGAGCAACAACAAACTCTATGGGCCTCTTCCAGACTGCCTCTTCAACAAGTGTGTGAACCAAATGTGAGTTCCAACCTATTACCAGCTTGTTTAAGTGGAATGACGCGATACGGATACCTTCAGTACGTTTCACAGGCAACCTGGAAGCAAAAGCAAAATGCATTTTACATCGTCACCCCCAGCTCCAACACTTAGAAACGGCCCGACACTCAATAATGTTGCAACGGTCAACTCAATAATGTCACAACCGCAAATAATGTCACAGCGTAGTGTCAGAACAGTCAATAATGCTGCAACATTGTGTCAGAACAAGTGAGTACGTCCAAAAACGTCTCTAACTTCAGGTCAGTATACTTAAAGAAATCTGCCACACTGCCACACTGCCACACTGCAGAAGAGCCAGTAATGTCACAACAGCCAATAGTGTTGCAAGAGTCAATCCGCAGCCAACGAGGTGTAGACAGCCAATAACGTCACTAATCCAATAAACTTCCCAACTTACAAATAGTGGTTTGGTTGGATTCCCAACCCAACCCCATCCATTTGCTTCCTTTTCTCATCCCAGTGTTTTTTGTACTAGAGACGAAAAAACTTCCTTCGTAATCTATCCATTCAAGCTTTCTATTCTGACACCTGTCACCTCCCATAACCACCCCTAACCCTTCTAAACCGCAGCGATGTGAGCAACAACAGCCTGTACGGGCGCATCAACCGCAACTTCAAGAACATGGTGGCAGATGGGGAAGCACTCATCAACTTGGCTCACAACTTCTTCTTCGGAGATGCCGTGCTCTTTGCTGCCGGCTGCCAGGTCTGCCCCGTTGAGATCACCGACCCCAACATGCTGGTGCTGGGGGACACAAGTTCCGGTTCTGCCCAAGGGGCTGGGAAGTGCATTGGTGGCATAACTTTCATGAAAGATTACTCGGTTGCCGCGGCAGGCAAGGGCGCGAGGGTGAGTCTGCTGGGCAACTGCCTGACGCTCAGCCCGGACGGAGATTGCGCTTCCAACGCCACCCAGCGCAGCAAAGCAGCCTGCCAGGCGTTCTGCAGCATCACGGACAACGGCCCGTGTGACGGCCATGGGGAGTGTGTGCCGCCTGCACCCGGTTCCACCTCCAACTTCACCTGCCTCTGTGATGCCGGCTACTCCACCCTCGACCTTGGCAATGGCTCTACCTGTGCCATTGTCAACTCCACCACCACCACTGGTGAGCCACCACATACATGAAAAAACAGTGTCCACAAAAGTGTTCTTCTCCGCTTCATGCAAACACTGTTTTTTTTTTCCTGCTGCAATTACACCTTGGTTTCAAGAATCTCTCCTTAAGCAGCCAAGTTGCATCCGTTGTGCCCTCTCCACTCCCCTTTTCCCTCAACCCACTCCCTCCCCTCTCCCCACCTCACCCCCCCCCCCCCCCCCCCCTTGCCTCTTTCCAGCAGTGTCCACTTGCTCCCACTGGCACCATATTGGGCATTGCTGTGGGGTGCTTTAATGGCGTCAATCTATATTTGCTGCTGTCCCCACCCTTCCCCTCCCGCTCCGCCTGCAACAGTTTCCTCTCTCTCCACGGGCGCCATAGTGGGCATTGCTGTGGGCTGCTTTGCTGGCTTCACTCTGCTGGCTGCTGTACTCACATGGCTGCTGTGGCCCCGCAAACAGAGTGAGACATCCTACCCTGCTGCCCCCTCTCCTGCGTCGCTCCTCCCATCCTCTTGCATACCACTCTGCAATCTCCATCCCTCTTCTTCCTCTCAGTTCCCATCCAGCATCGTGATATCCATCCAAAAGCTATAGTATCCTTCCAACCTTAGCAACCCCCCTCCTACTGTCAATGTGCTCTGTATGTATGCCTCGTGTGCAAGCAGAGAAGTGGCAGGGGCTGGACGTGTGTGAGCAGTACACGCTGCAGCAGATCTTGAAGGCGACAGACAACTGGGCGAAAGAGAATGAGCTGGGCAAGGGGGGCTTTGGCGTTGTGTACAAGGGCTGCTCCCCACAGGGGCAGCTGTGGGCTATCAAGCGCTCCAAAGTCATGACCAACGAGTTTGAAACAGAGGTGAGAGCCATTCTCCTTGTAGAGATGTATTTCTCTGCGGTTTCTTCAAAAGGAAGAGAAGATTGGAATATTGAAATCACAAAAGAACCGACAAGTTACTGTTTCAGTTTTTCTTTGCATGCTCCTCTTTTGTTCTTTCATAGGTGCGAGCCATGGCATCCCTCCACCATTCGAATCTGGTGCGCCTGCTGGGGTTCTGCCAGGATCAGAACGTGGAGACGGGCAAGCAGGAGCAGATCCTCGTGTACGAGTTTGTGGGCAACAGGGACCTGCAGTACCACATTCACAAGTCCAGCCGTGAGTTCCGGGGCTGCTCTGTGAATCTTGGTAAACCGTTGCTGCTTCGTTTGGTGAATCATACGACCTCGGCTTTGGTTTTCTCTCTGTTCCCTTTAGTGAGATTTTAATACATCTCAAGGTGAAACCACTGTCGATGTGCCCTCACTCTGCCCCAGGCCCACTCTCCCTGAGGCAGCGACTGAGGCTGGCACATGGTGCAGCAGAGGGCCTGGCATACCTGCATGGGTTTGAGACACCCATCGTTCACCGCGACATCAAGCCAGCCAACATCCTTGTGACTGCCGACATGCAAGCCAAGGTGGCTGACTTTGGGCTGCTCAAGCGCCTCACTCATGGGGACTCCGATGCCACGCGGGTGGCTGGCACCCCGGGCTATGTGGACCCGGATTACAACCGCACCCGCATCATCACTGCCAAGAGTGACGTCTTCAGGTCTGCTTTGCATCATACATTGCTGCTTTACACAGCAAATGAAGCTTCCATGCTTTCTCAATCCTAGATTGTAACTGTCATGGGCTCAAGCATGTTTCTTGTTTGTTCTTTTTCTGTGTTCCGCAACTTTCATACGCCAAAGCATTTTTCTTGTTTGTTGTGCTGGTTGTAAGCTTGTTCTCTACTGCATCTATGCCTACTGTCATGAGTGCTTGCAGCTTTGGCATAATGATTCTGGAGTTGCTGACTGGAAAGGCACCCCATGATCTCCTTGGGTTGGCTATCAAAGATTGGGTACTTAATCCCATCCCACGTCAGAACCATCTCTTGGGTTCCCTTCTTTTATCTTTTGTCAACTCATTTTAATCATAACTCATTTTTTACACAACCTTTCATGGCGTCTGTTCTTGACCATTCTAATTGAGTCATATATCCTCTGTATCGGGCCGCTTTGTGATATCTTTCCTCTTGACCGTGCTGCCTCTTACCATGTCTCCACTTCAGTAAGCCACCTTGAATTGCTTGCCTTTCTTCAGAATGCTGCCTTGCGCCACGTTGCCTCCTATCATTCCACCTTCATCCGCCGTGCCTCTGAATTATGCTGGCCTGTATCACACCTTTCTTCTATGACGATTCTTCGTGCGGGGTCACTACAGGCTCCTGAGTTATACTAACTTTTATCGTACACAATGAGTGTATTCTCTTGTCATGTTCCCTGCCTTGCACAATGGGTTGTATCTTCTCTAACGCATTTCTTTTCAGGCGATGAAGGAGATGGAGGCGTATCACTTGGATGATCTCAAAGACAACAAGCTAGAAGCAAGTGAGGAGGCCATAGTGGACTATGCCGACCTGGCTTTGGACTGCGTCAAGTCACCCGGCACACGACGTCCTGACATGGAGGACGTAGCATACCGAATCAAAGCACTTATTGAGAAGCATTGCCCTGAAAAGGAGGCCGATTGGGAGTGCACGGAGCAAGCAAGCAACACAATTACCAGTTTTTCGGTTCCACCGTCGAATAGTGGTTCTGTGTGTGATGTTGGTGGACAAGAGTCACACATGGGATCTCATCTGTCTCAGGGCTCATTTGGGTGGAGCGGATTCTCTTTTGACTTTGGGTTGGGGGTTACTACAATCAAGAGCTGGTTTCAAACAAGGCTTTCACCATAATATTGAGTAGGTACAGCTGGCATATCATTGAGTGCTTTTAGTGTTTGCCAACAGCATTACACATGGTAGTAGTACATTCATGTGCATACCATTAGACGGGTTTTATTTGGGAAAATGTAGAGCCTTTTTATTGTACTTGTAACCAGTAATGTTGACAACATGTGATGTGCGGTAAAAATTGCCATAGGTTTTAAAGACTTTCCTCTAAACTTGCTGGTACGGTCATAGCACCAAAGCATCGCATATTGGTTTAAATATATATACATGTGTATACACCACCCTATTTGGTGAACACTAGGGACGTCAAGTTTCTGCGGAGATAACTACTACAACGGGAGCTAGGCTGCGGGCTAGGCACGGATGCTCGTGTAATCTCTGCGTTCGTTGGTCCTTAGTCGTTCCCTTGTGCGCACACTACTTGCTAGTTCACGGGGAGAATTGGCAAGAGTTCCACTAGAGAAAGTTGACAACAATGATACAAAGAAGTTGGCAAGGCAAGACTACATCAGATCTAGCATGCAAGCAGGACGACTGCCAGCGCAGCACGGTCGACCGCGTGCCAGCACGACTTGGTCGACCGCGCTCCAGCAGCGCAGAGTCGCGGCTTGCCAACACTGCAGGTCGACGGCGTGCCAACGTCGCAGGTTGACGGCGCGCCAACGTTGCTCCCGTTGGACAGCAGCGCACCTACTTCGCAGGTGCTCGCAGATGATTGGCGTGCAGTGCCTCGTCACCTGCACAACGCACACACCACATCAACTTCGTGCTGACGACTGCTTCTGATGCACCACGTCGACCTCGGGATACCATCACCGAGGTCGTCCTCGCCAAAACCACCTGGGCGACTGTCGCGCACCTCCGTAGGGCTTCGTCACCGAGGTAACCTGGTCGACCGGGCAACCAGGTCGACCAGAGGCTCCAGTGCGTGCCCGTCGACCACCCAGGTCGACGACCACTTCCGGTCGACCTCCCAGGTCGACCACTGCCTCTGGTGCGTGCCGGTCGACCTCCTAAGTCGACGGCCACCTCCAGTCGACCTCCCCAGGTCGACCACTATCCCCTGGTCGACCAGCTCCAAGTCGACGTCACTCCTGGTCGACCAGAGGGTCTGGTCGACTTACCAGGTCGACCAGAAGGTCTGGTCGACGTCCCAGGTCGACCAGAAGGGCTGGTCGACTTCCCAGGTCGACCACCCGAAGTTGGCGCCCTCCCGAAGTCGGCGCCCATGCAGTGGCTCCCCGTCCAGGTCGACCAACCTCGTCGACCAACTCGCCCACTGCTGCAGGTCGGCTGCACCCTACACCCGACCATGAAGTCGGCTCCGCCCAAGCGAGGACGGGGCCAACAAACGGAGACAAGCTCGTCGACGTGCACCCAACACACAGCACGTCGTTCACCGCACCAGCCATGCAGGAGGGCATGGCACCTACTGCTGCACGTCGTCGTCGCCGTCGCCCACGTCGGCCAGACGCACTTGGCCGATGGCGACGGAGCACCGGTTGAAGGCCGGATAGTGCAGCGCCTTCGTCAGGAAGTCGGCCGGCTGCTCAGCGGTCGGGATGTACTGCAGCGCAAACTTCCCCCGCTTCACCATGTGCTGCAGCCAGGCCTGTCGCCGCTCCATGTGCTTGAGGTTGCCCGTCAACCCCATGCCCTCGGTGACCGTGATGGCCGACTTGTTGTCCACCCTTAGGACCGTCGGCTTCCCAGCATCCAGCTGCTGGAACTCTGCGAGGAGGAAGCGAAGTCGGCGTCCCTCCTTGCCGGCTTCGACGGCCGCCACGTACTCCGACTCGGTCGACGACAGTGTCGCGCACTTGATGCGCTGGCTCGACCAGGAGACCGCGGCCCCTCCGTAGACGAACACGTAGCCACCCGTGCTCGTCCTGTTCTGCTTGTCGCCAGCATCGTCGGCGTCCACGTAGCCGACCAGCTCCAGCGACTCAGGTCCACCGCCAAACTCCAAGGCGGTGTCACGCGTGCTGGCGAGGTAGGCGAGGCAGCGGTCGACCTCGCGCTAGTGCTGGTCGCTCCTCACCGTGAGGCCGCTCCCCAGCTTGCTGCAGGCGAAGGCGATGTCCGGCCTCGTCGTCGTCGCCGCGAACTGCAGCGAGCCGACCTTCTGCCGGTACTCCTCCTCCTGGCGCTCCTGCGCCTCCTCGTCGTCGAAGGTGAGCTTGGCGTAGGCGTCGACCGAAATCGGCGTCTTCGGAGTCCGTCCGCCCTGCTCCTCGTCGATGAAGCGCCTACGCAGCTTGTCGGCGTAGCCCTGCTGGTGCAACCACAGCTTCCCCGCCGACCTGTCGCGGACGATCTCCAGCCCGAGGTACTTCTGCACCGGCGAGATCTTGCGTAGCTCAAAGGCGGCCTCGAGCAGCTCCTTTAGCTCCTTTAGCATCGCGGGGCTGCTGCTGGCGGCGAGCAAGTCGTCGACGTAGACCAGCACCCAGCAAGTCGCTCCGTCGCCGACCTTGAAGTAGAGAGCCTCGTCGACCTGGCTCTTCTTCCACCCGGCGCCGACCAGCACATCGTTGAGCGCCAAGTACCACAGCAGCGGCGACTGCTTCAGCCCGTACAAGCTCTTCAACAGCTTGCACACCCGGCCGGTTCCGTCGTTGAAGTAGTCCGGCTGCGACATGTACAGCACCCGGTCGAGCTTGCTCTGCAGGAAGGCGTTCTTCATGTCGAGCTGCATCAGGTTGAGGTTGAGCACGGCGACGATGCTGAGGAAGATCCTCAGCGTCACGTAGCTGCCCACCGGCGCGAACGTCTCGTCGTAGTCGGCGCCATACACCTGCGTGAAGCCCTTCACGACCAGCCTCGCCTTCTCGCGCTCGACGGTGTCGTCGATGTGGTACTTCGTCGTCAGCACCCACCGGTTCTTCATCACGTTCACTCCCGGCGGGCGTTCGACCAGCTCCCACGTCCCCATGGCGATGAGACTGCGGATCTCCTCCTCCATGGCGGCCTTCACCGCCGGACCCTTCCAGCTTGCCAACGCCTCCTTCACCGTCATCGTGGAGATGTCCCAGCGGTGCTCGGGGTCGGCCAGCATGTCGGGGTCGAGCTCCGGAAACTCCTCATCTTCGTCGGCGTCGTCGTACAGCAGGTCGTCGTCCTCGTCGACCACGTCATAGACCGTGGTGAAGGCGGCCGGGATGAAGAAGTCGGGAGGCCTCCGAAGTCGACCTGACTTCCGGGGTTCAGGCGGGACCACCACCACGTCACGGTCGGTGGACTGGTCGACCACCTCCTGGTCGACCAGCTCCTCGTCGCCCAACTGCTCCCCTTCATCTTCACTGCCGTCCTCGTCGTCCTGCTGCACTGTGGTCGGCGTCCCGACCGACTTCTCCCCTGCCGTCAACTCCCCTGCCGACTGCCAGGTCGCCGACTGCTCCTTGGTCGGCCTTGCTGCTGCCTGCTCCCCTGTGGGCTTCACCCAAGTCGGCTGCACCTCCTCGACCTGCTCCCCCCTTATCCAGGTCGACTGCACTCCCAGGTCGACCTGCTGCTTGTCGACTTGCTGCTCGTCCCGTCGGCCACCGGCGATGCCCTTGGTCGGCGCCACAGGCGACGTCCCACTGCTCCCCTCATCGCCGGAGGCCGACGGCGGAGTCAGCCCATGCAGGTCGACGAGGGGAGGGGCAGGGGAGGGGGAGGAAGGGTGGACGACCTCGGCGTCGTCCTCAGCAAGCTCACCGACCTCGGCGAGCAGAGGGAGCGTTGCCGTCGAGGTATCCGTCGGCGTGGCCATCAGTGTCCGCCCTGACACTGGCCCATGCTCCGACTTCCACTCCTCCAGCGACAGGTCCTCGTAAAATACCACGTCCGACATGGTGACCACCCGGTTGGCGGCAATGTCGAGGAGCTCCCAGCCCTTGCTGGCCTCCGACACGCCGAGGTGAAGGCCCCACTTGGCCTTCGGCTTCAGCTTCCCACCGCGCTGCTGCTCGGGGACGAGGAATTGCGCCATGCAGCCCCACACGCGCGCCAGCGACAAGTCGGGCTTCGTCCCGGTCAGCAGCTGGTATGGCGTCGTCCCCGGCGTCGCCGACCGCTCCAGGCAGTTGCGGATCCAGACGGCCTGCCGCAGAGCGAGGTGCCACCAGTGGTGCTGCACGCCCATGTGCAGCAGCATCGTCCGCACCGACTCCACCACCGTCCGCATCTCCCGCTCCGCCATGCCGTTCTGCTGCGGAGTGTACGGGCAGGTCAGGTCGTGGACGATCCCCTTGCCATCCACGAAGTCGGTGAACTGCTTCCCGAGGAACTCCCCGCCCCGGTCCGAGCGCAACATCAGCACCGACTTCTTCGTCTGCCTCTCCACCAGCACCAGCCACTTCTGGAACTCCAGCAGCACATCCGACTTCTTGGCGACCGGCCTCACCCACACGTAGCGGGACTTACGGTCCTTTAGCAGCAAGAAGTACAGGCTGCCATCCTTGGCAGCCACCCGGAATGGCCCGCACAAGTCGATGTGGACGACGGCTAGCAAGTCGGCGGCGTCGGAGCCTTGGTCGGGGAAGGTGTGCCGCGCCAGCTTCCCGCCGACGCACGAGACACACGGTGAGTCGGCGCCCGTCGCCGACTTGAGGTCCAGCCCAATAGCGACCTCGTTCTTCGCCGAGCTCCTGATGGTGTCCATGCCGGCGTGCGCAAGCCGAGCATGCATCCTGTCCGGCGTCGACTTCGTCTTGGAGACAATCGCCCGCAGGGCCACAACCTCCGGCGTGGGTGACGCCAACCTCGTTGAGCAGGGATGCAGGTCGGTGCAAAGGACTCGCCCGGAGTACGTCGCCCGACCAAGCACCTCCCCTGCTGCCGAGACGAGCAGCATCCCGTCGCCGTCCTCCCGAAACTTCACGCCGTGCTCCTTCAGCTGGCCGGACGACAACAGGTTCGCCCGCACACCCGGGACGTACAGCACGTCGGGGATGAGAAC